GGACAAATACTGTTTCAGATCATTATTGTAGAAATAGATAACAAGTAAAACATGTATGAGGATATAAGAGGGGAGGGTGAGAGCAGAGGGGTGAGGATGGGTGGGTGACAGGTAATCATAGGGTTGCACATTTTGATAGGTGGAGGGACGGGTGTTTTAAGGAAATGGGAAATATATGGTGTGAAAAACAATGTATACAAACTTTATAAGTAAACCAGTATATAATAACAACAATAACAACACAATAATAATAATAACCTCAGTGAAATCCAAATAGACTAGACCTCAAAAGAAAAACATCAAGGTATGTTGTTGTTAGGTGCCATTGAGTTGGCTGAGTCTCATAGTGACCCTATGTACAACAACTCTAAACCTTGCTCTATTCTGTGCTAATCTCATTATCTCCAACACACCTACCTTGATTATCCCAGTCACTGAATCAGTCCACTTCATAAAGGGTCTTCTCCTATGCTGTCCCTCCACCCTCCCAAGCATGATGTCTTCTCCAAGGACTGGTCCCTCCTTGTAACATGTCCAAAGTATGTCAGATGAAGCTTCAGAATCCTTGCCTCCAAGGAGCAGAGTGGTTTAACACTTTCTAGGATGAACCTGGAGGTAAGCTATTATGGAAGTGGATGCCACTCCTCCTTCCAAGCTTGTTTTAATCGGAGAGCTCCAACTCACTCTCTGTCCACATTGGGTAGCCAACCATTCACTCATTTAGACACATCAGTGTCAGTGTTCAGCCTCACAGCAACCATAAGTTACCACTGTATGGCAACTTGTACACCAGGGCTATACGACCTAGAGGAATGTCTGAACAGAAACAATGAAAGACAGGCCTTCTCCAAGGACTGGTCCCTCCTTGCAACATGTGCAAAGTATGTCAGACGAAGCTTCAGAATCCTTACCTCCAAAGAGCAGTATGGTTTAACACATTTTAGGATAAACCTGTTCATTTTATTAGCAGTCCATGGTATGTGTATTCAATACTCTTCTCCAACACCACAGCTCAAAGGCATCATTCTCCTTCTATCCTCCCTAGTCATTGTCCAGCTCTCTGATGGATAACAAGTGATTACTAAGACCATGGCCTGTATCAGGTACACCTTAGTCTCCAAAGTGACACCATTGTTCTTCAGTATTTTGGAGAGGTCCTTAACAGCAGACTTTTACCATCGCAAAATGTCTTTTAATTTCCTGGCTGCTGGTGCCAAGAGTGTTGACTGTGGACTAAAGCTGTTAACAGTTTCAATCGAGATGAAGAGAAATCATAGCTAAATTTTCCATAAACAAAGACGAGGATAGAATACTGAAAGCCATTCAAGAAGTCACCTACAAAAGAGAATCAATTGGGTTAAACTGACTTCTCAGCAGAAGCCATGTGAGCAAGAAGACAATGGGATGATATATAGTGAAGACTGAAAGAAAACATCTTCAAAACTGAAAATCCTGTAGCCCACAAAATTGTCCATCAAATATAAAGGAGAAATATAAAACCTGCCCTAATCCACTTTACCAAGCGTCAAGGACTCTCCTTCATAGGGTCGCTATGAGTCGCCTGCGACTCGACGACACTTAACAACAACAAAACAACAATCCACTTTAGGGCATGGTATTTCCCTGGTTTGTCCCTCTGCCTATTTCTTTCTCTGCAGACCAAGGAATTCTGCTCGGGATACCCCTTAATAAAGCTTCTTTAGCTTCATATATATATGAAAAGGAGAAATTAGGCCATTTGCAGAGAAGCAAGAACTTAATTCTGCAAGAAATAATAAGGGAAGACCTTCTCACAGAGACAGCAAAGGAATGTGGATAGACCAAAATAACCAGGAACAATAGAAAAAGAAGCACAGCAGAATAGACGTGCTAAAACCTTACCTATCAATAATCACAATTAATATGAATGGCTTAAATGCACAGATTTAAGGGGGTGGGGGAAGTTGCATAATGGATAAAAATAAAACAAAAACAAAGCCCATCATTATATTGCCTACAAGAAATACATCTAAGAAATGGGGGGAAAGAGAAACTTAAAATCAAAGGATTATAAAACAACAGATAGTTTACATATGTTTGAGAGGATCTACAGTGTTTAAGGTTGTGTTCTAGAAAAGGCTATTTACATGAATATTGCTTAGAGGAGTACCACATACCCTCTGGGCATACTAAATATCTGATGAATTTGAAAGAAACAAAAATGGCTTTATTTTTCTCTGTTAGTCCCTTGGACAATTTTTAAGTCTTGCTGGGAAGTTACTAAATAAACCCATGTCTTCCTGAGCTTTGGGAGTAAAGTCAAGCACTAATTTTCATTTGTACTGAACACATTAAAGACTAGATTGAAAAATTGCCTGCAAGAATTGTTCTCACTTGTATATCCTGAGAATTGAACCTGGACAGTGTATTAAATACTATAAGCTTGTGAACTAGCTGATTAAATGATTAGATTAATACATGTATATTGGTAGTTGAATTTAGCAAAGAAATGGATAATCTTGATTATGCTTTTATGTTTACAAGAAGAGGTATAACTAGAGTGTATCTACAGGAGTAATGATGGTTCTTAAAGAGTATTTTGAAGTAACAAAATGAGCAAGAATTAACTCTTTGGTACAAGCTATAAGGTAATACTTGTGAATTATAATGGCACCAGCCAACACCTTTATGATTAAGGGTATTTCAGTTTTTGTAGGAACATTTCTTCATGTGTTTGTTTGCCACCTGAATGTTTTCTTTGGTGAAGTGTCTGTTCATATCCTGTGCCCATTTTGTAATAGAGTTGTTCATGTTGTTGAGGTGCTGGAGTGTTCTATAATTCTAGATATAAATCCTTTATCAGACATGTAATTACCAAATATTTTTTCCCTTTTTACCCTGTTGGAGATGATTTTTTACATGCATAGGGATTTTATGCTTAGAAAGTCCCATTCTTTAATTGTGTTCTCTACACACCTATGTTTCTTGCTACATTGTTCATGATAGCAAAGAGATGAAAGCAACCCAGGTGCCCTTCAACAAATGAATGGACAGAGAATCTGTGGCATAGTTACACAATGAAATACTACAGAGCACTGAAAAACAAAAAACTCATAAAATATTATACTAAATGGATTACCCAGGAGAACTTTATTCTGAGTGAAGTATCTAAGTCACAGAAGGACAAATACTATATAGTGCTACTCATAAAACAGGACTGACATGGGGTTTGGAGGAAACTAAGAAAAAGAGGGGATACATAACAAACATTGCTTTGAAATAGATGAGGGAAAGACCTGTTTAAAAGGAACATGTTGTTGTTGTTGATTGCATCTAGTCGAGCATGACGCATAATGACCCTATGAACAAAGATTCTAAAGTCTTTCTATGACTATTGTAATTGCTCAAAGCTCATAGAGTTTCTAGAGGCATATTGTTTAGGAAGTGGATGCCACTCTTGCTTTCAAACCTGTCTTACACTGGGAACTCTACCAAACACTGTCCACCATGGGTAACCATTATGGTATTTGACATCCCAATGGCATAAGGTTCAGAATCACAGCAACCCCAGGTTACTTCAGTACAGCAAATTGACAGAAGAGTGCTGTACCACTCAGAATAATGTTCCTCCGAAATATAATAACAATCAACTTTTAAATACAAAGGCCCTCCATGAGGTCAATTTAACTGTAAATAAGATGCTTAAATAAAACCGACCAATATAACATGTTGTTGTTGATTGTGGCTATGTGCTGTTGAATTGCCTGCGAACCATGGTGACCCTATGTAGAGCAGCTCTTAACCCTTTCCTGTTCAGAACTAGTCTCACTAATACCAACATACCAACCCTTATTGCCCCAGCTACTTTATTAATCCATCTCGTCTGGGGTCTTCCTCTGCTGCACTGTCTATCCACCCTTCCGAGCATGATGTTCTTCTCCAAGGACCAGTCTCTCCTAGCCATGTGCCCAAAGTATGTGAGTCAGACTTTCAAAATCCTAGCCACCAAGGAAAGATTCGGTTTTACCCTCTCCAAGACAGACTTATTTGTTTTCTTGACAGTCCATGGTATGTTCAAGACTCTACTCCAGCACCACAGCTTGAAGGCATCGATTCTTCTGTCATCCTTAGTCATTGTCCAGCTCTCCGATGCATAGCAAGTAACAGAGAAGACCATGGTCTGGATTAGGTGCACCTTAGTCCCTAGACTGGCATCAACACTCTTGAGAGGTCTCTGACAGCAGATTTTCCCAATGCAATTCGTCTTTTGATTTCCTGACTGCTGGTGTTAAGAGTGTTGAGTGTGGAGCAGAGCAAGCTGTAATTGCTACAAACTCAATCTCTTCTCCATTTATCACAGTGCTGCCAATTTGCCCAGTGGTGAGAATCTTTGTTTTCTTGATGTTGAGCTTCAATCCTTATACAGTCTTTGACCTTCTGCAGCAATCACTTCAGGTCTTCTTCAGTTTCAGCAAGGAAGGTTGTGTCATCTTCTTAAGGTAGATTGTTGGTGAGTCTCCCTCCAATCCTGATACCACACTCCTTCTCATAAAGCCCTGCTTCCCAAATGATCTGTTCTGCATACTGATTGAAAAGGTATAGTTATAGGGACAGGATTCATCCCTGATGCTTCCTGATTTTGAACCATGTTTTCTTGTTCTGTTCTGAGGACTGCTTCTGGGTCCAAGTAGAGGTCGATTAGGTATTATTTGCATGACAATGAAGTCCAGAATATGCGGTACATAACAAAGTGGACTGGAGGGGCAGGAGGAAAGAGGAAATTGTGCAACAATGAAAGAATCTTTTTAAAGATAAAAGCAAACTAGGGGTGGGTAGGGAAGAAAATGTACAACAATGAATGAAGTCCAAGTTTTCTGGAAATTACATTAAAATATTAATAAAAAATTAAAAAACATTTCTCAATATTATGAGACTGTGTATAATTGTTTCTAAATACATATACAAATGTTTTTAGAAAGAGAAAGAAAGTTTTCAGAATTGTTCAATGATCTAAAACTTACCTGATAATTGTAAGGCAAGAGAATGTTTACAGAAAGGTATATATTTTCTTGTATTCGATTTGATTTTTTTTAAATCAATTGAAGTTTGAACAATAACAAGTTTTGTGAATTCTTCAGTGCCTTGTATCTGAAAGTTGACAGAGTACAAATTCATTTTTGAGCAAGCATTGGCTGATTATTCTCCTCTAGTAAGTTACCCTCTCCATCCCTGTCCAAATACTTTGGAGAAAATTTAAGATATCAATAAACCACGTAGATGTTGTTGTTGTTGTCGTCAGGTACCCTCAAGTTGAGTATGACTCATTGTGACCCTATGAACAATAGATCTTGTCTATCCTGTGCCATCCTCACACTTCCTGACACAAAAGAGCCCATTGCATCAGTCACTGTGTCAATCCACTTGGTTGAGGGTCTTCCTCTTCTTCACCCATCCTCTACCTTTTCAAGCATCATGTCGCTCTCTTCCAATGAATAGCCCCCACTAGCAACATATCCAAAGTATGTGAGGCAAAGCCTCATCATCCTTGCCTCCAAAATGCACTCTGGCTGCACCCTTTACAAGACATGTTTGCTTGTAAGAATAAGTCTGTCAATGAGATGTTCAGTGCTCTTCTCCAACTCCACAGCTCAAAGGTATTATTTTCCTGTCATCTTTATTCATTGTCCAGCTCAGATGTATGGTGTTGTTGGCATGTGCTGCTGAATCGACTGCTACTCATAGTGACTGCACATTATAGATCTGATCCCTGACCTATCCTGAGCCAATCTCACTGTCTCTGACATAAGTGGATATATTGGCTTTGTTAAAATTGACATTTAATATATTTTAAACATCTTATTAATTTATTTTCCAAATGTGAAAAAAGAATCATGAGTTAATAATTCATAGCCTTAAAAATAAAAATGAAAGAATCTTTTCTTTTACTTTTCCATAATTTTTGGACTCGTGTACTTATAACTTGTTAGTCAAATTTGTGTCTTCTAGGTTGCAACACCCCCATGATACATCTTCAAGGATATGAACATGTACAGCCAAGCACAATCAATAAGAGTGCATCTAAATTCCAAAATCAATCTCCATAATAGTCTATGTGTTTCCTACTGCCAAAGGGGCCCTTTAGAGTAGTGAGAGAAGATCTTCACCCTGAAACCCACAGCGTCCCTTTTCAGCAGGAAGTAGCTAAGAGAATACGCCATCCCCTTTTCCTTATGACTCAGGGTGAAGTCTCTCTCAGGGAGGAGTGATAGGGAATGGCAAAGGACACACTGACAAAGAAGATTAATCAGAACTGGCTTTGACAAGCACTGTGGCATTTGGACAAGAACAAACTGGGAGGAGGGTAGAAAGAATAGTGCAACAATGAATGAGTGGAAGCCCAAAATCTCTGTAAATGTTTATGAAAATTAATAAAATATAATTAAAAAAAATAAAACTTACCTAGACTGTTTTCCATGTGTTGTTTTTATTCATCCTCCATTTGGAGCTGACTCATAAATTATCCTCCTGAAGGTTTTCAGAAGCAGTGAATCACACAGTAGGAGACTACCTATCATTCTCATGCAGAGGAGCTATAAACTACCCACTAAACTCACTGCTTCCTACCTGGTCCTAACTCACAGCCGCCCTACAGGATGGAGTAAAACCACCATGAGGTGTTTTCAGGGCTATCAATCTTTACAGAAGCAGACTGCCATATTTTTCTCCAGAAAAGCAGGTAGTAGCTTCAAACTTTCCACCTTTTAGTTAGCAGTTGAACACATAATCACTGTACCACCAGGGAAATAATTTCAGTATGCAGATGTGCTTACCATATAGGAATCTTTCTCAAACTCAAAGTGACTAGAGCTCCATGGCAGAGGTGGATTTCAGGTGTCTTTGTATTAATTCCTGGTTGTTGTTGTTATGTGCCATCGAGTAGCCTGCAACTCATAGTGACCTAATGTAAATTAGCTCTGAACCCTGCCCTATCCTGAGCCAATCACATCTCCAACCTAATCACATTTCTCCAGTCACTGAGCCAATCCATTTAACTCTGGGTCTTTCTCTCCTGTGCTGTCCCTCCAGCTTTCCGAGCATGATGTCCTTCTCCAAGATCGGTTCCTCCTGGCCACATGCCCAAAGTATGAGATGGAGCTTCAAAATCTGAGCTTCCAAGGAGAAACTTGGTTTCACCCTCTCTAAGACAGACTGATTTATTTTCTTAGCGGTCTATGATATGTTCAAGACTCTTCTTCAGCAACACAATTTAAAGACTTCAATTCTTCTTCTTCTATCATTCTTAGCCATTGACCAGCTCTCTAATGCATAGCAAATAATTGTGAAGACCATGGCCTGTATCAGGTGAGCATCTAGATCACAGCTCTGCTATTACATATTCACTAATATAAGTAGAGGACACTTTTACTTAAAACATTTCCCTTCCTTTCCTCAGCTATCACATTAGCACTATTCCATTGGCCAATATTCTTGTGACTGTTTTTCACTTTAGGATTCTTCCCATTCTCAGTTTCCTTTTTCTTCTGCCCTAAATATAAACTGTAAGTATTTCTATTATAGCTTGAAATATTTTATTAATGTAGTTTCTCTCCATTTAGTTGTGAAACTCTCTTGAGGAAAGTTTGCATTTCTTTTGTGTTATTTCTCCAAGTAGGTAAAGTTTTGACTGCACTTTCAAGTTCCATTTCTATCATCTATTGTTTGTCAAGTGCAGTCAAGTCAGCTCTGGCTACAGTCAACTCTGAGTAGCAGGCTGGAGCAGTCCTCAATCCTGTGCCATCGTGTGCTGTGCTTAAAACCATTGTTTCAGTCACTATGTCAACCCTTCTCACTTCAGTGATTTTCCTGTTTACCAGGCATGGTGACCTTATCTAGGGGCAAGCCTCTTCTGACAGAATATTCAGAGTTAGTGCAACAAAGTCTCACCATCTTCACATCTAAGGAAAACTGGCTGCACTTCTTAGAAGACAGATTTGATTGTGCCTTTTACCACCCATGGGATATTCTATACTCTTCACTAACTCTGCACTTTAAGGCTTTTAACTCTTTGGTCTTCCTCATGCATATGTTGTTGTTATTATGTGCTGTCAAATCAGCCATGACTCATAGTGATTGTGCACAATAGCTCTGATCTTTGCCTTATCCTGAGCCCATCTCACTGTTTCTGACATACCTTTTCCCTCCCATCACCCAATTACTATATCAATCCATCTCTTCCAGGGTCTCCCTTTCCTACACTGTCCCTACACCCTTCCAAGCATGATGCTCTTTTTTTCTTAAAATTTAGTATTAATTTCAATGAAAATTTACAGAGACTTTGGATTTCCATTCGTTCACTGT